TTGAGAACCAAGTATGGAAGAAACTTTCCTGACAGACATGAGAAATTCAATTCACTTATACAGTACCTAGCCGTATCAATATTACTTTACTTCCCCGCTTCATTCCATTCAGAATTTCATATGAAGGCAGTAAATAAAGCCATTGGTCAATAGCTCTTCTTTAAAGTTGTATACCTACAGGAACAGGGCCAGGGGTCCTCGAGACGGGAATACCTAAAATGTCTCTACAATTGACAGCTCCACAGAGCTGATATCAAGTTTCAAACCACCACAATACCTAGGAGACATTCACACAACACACCTGACAACTCCGACAATGTGACATTTAGCGCTGGATATGGATTATCTTATCCATCCGATCCTGCCAGTCTTCAAGCCATAAGCTCGATAAGAAGGTTTAAAATGAAGAAATTTCTTATCCGCGGCCTCAGATTCGAGCAGGCTAAAATGCCTCATTGTAGGACAAAAATCCCTCACTTCCAGCTCGACGCCTTTGTGCGCCAGGAATCACCACATGGATGTGCAACATTACATGACATGGCGAGTGCGAGTGCGAGGCGAGGGTGAATTCTGGGGATCTATGGTGCGTGCAGAAGCGAGACAGGAGCTTGGTTAATTTTGTACGTCGGTGATGATCTTTGTGGCGGAGTGTACTGTAGTGTAATGTGTGACAACGATAATGTGATAACGTACCCTGGTGTTTAATGCGTTTGTCTAATGAAGGAGGTCGGTATACCTCATTGTGCTTCTCTTCTACAGATCATCTCTCGTGTCGATAGTAAAGCATTCGACTTCAAGATGAAAGGTATTGGTTGGATATGTTAATTCTAGTCTTCTTGGGCAACAAAATCCGTTGTTTTGTGTGTTGAAGAGGGGAAGGGAGGGGAGGACTGGGTTAAACTTTAAACCGCCATCGCCGATAGTAACCTTATTCCAAATCCCTTCACCGCTTTTGATTTCTGCCACGCCAAAACCACCCACCGCTAAATTGTCAAAATTTTGGCTTTATGAAGAAAAAAAAAAGCATAACATTAATTTCCAAATAGCCTCAAAGGTCAACCTATTTTTGATTAACTTTGATATGTGAGTGGGATATAGGTAGCCCATAAGGTAAAAGCACTGTTCGCAAAGTCTCGAGAATATAAAGGATATTTATTTGATTTGATTTGATTTGATTTAATTTAATTGAATTTGATAGGTAGCGGTATGATTTTATTTCTGAAATGACGTTTTAACGTGGAAATTTGGCTCTCATTTTCCCATATGGGTCTCGAGATACTAGGCATCCCTAAAACTTCCATTACCTAACCACCTCATTACGATTATATCCCAACTCCTGCAACAAACCCTTTTGATTCCACATCCATCCTCTTTTCCCCGCCAACAAATCCTCCATGGCCGTCGGTCCACAAACAAACACCATGGACTCCACCTTCCCACTCTGTGGCTCGAATCCCACCAATTCTTTTGCAAGAATCTCTTTATTCACATATCCTCTGTAGAAAGATGAATCCTCCCCCATATCAGTTGGTCTAGAAACCACCCAAGCCATCTTAAACCTATCCGGAAATCTCTCCTCAAATCCCTTCAGTTCCTCTTTCAATACCATATCCCTCTCCTCATTAACGGCGAAGATGAGTTTGATTTTCGTCTTTTCCTCGGGATTTTGGAGTATTCCTTGGATTAGTTGATACATGGGTGTGATTCCCGAACCGCCGGCGATTAGATTTAAATATTTGGCTTCGTTCGGTTTCCACGTGTAAGGATGCATGGGACCGCGGACTTTGAGGGAATCGCCTGGACGGAGAGAGTGAAGGTAGGTGCTTGATTTACCGTTGGGGTATTTCTTTACGAGGAGGTCGATGTGGTGAGGGTCGTCTGTTGGAAAGGTTAGTAGTGTGAGTATACTGGCTGGGGGGTGTAATCTGAGGACTCCCATCTCAGGGCTCCCAATTGTTCATACTGCAGTCCATATCCAGACGCTTTCGATATTCTAAATGAGTTTTGATACTTCAAATAAATTCAATGTATCAAATTAATTTGAATGTCCCTTATTGTTGGACTGCAGTCTGGAATATCAAAAGACCTGGATGTAATTTCTTCTAGTGAGGACTTACTGAAATCTTGTATGGGAGTATATGGTCTAATCACAGGGAGTAGAGCATCTGTCGGTTTATGAAAAGTGAGAAGAACCGCTGTTAACAAGTATATCAGCACCTGAAGTGACTAAAATGAGATGGGTATTTCAATGGGGACGTACAACATAGTTTGAACGTGCCAAGAGAGTTAGCATCAGGGACCTCGAAGCGAAGACGTTTGGTATTGTGATTGACATCTTGGGCCGATATTAATTTCAGAGATGTAAAGCCACCGAATCCGCCACGGGTTCTTTGCTTCGATGAACATGGTCTGCCACGTGCCATGTCGTGTTCATTCTCCGTCGACTCATTCTTGATATCTCCGTGACTGGAGAAGTTGAGACGTCTAGTGGCCGCAAACTTCTGAACTCCGATTGTGGTGGCTATTCCAATGACAAAGAACCCAAAAGCAAATCCAGTCTTGAGAGGTATCCATCGAGGTTTTACGTTGCAAGGCGTGTTGTAAGACATGTTGAATGTAATTAAGGTGTAGGAATATCAATAGTAGAATAAAAGAACTACTAATTGTTGGTTTCGACTTGGTGTTGAAAGTGTAAGTACTTAATCATGTATGTATGATAATGTTTGATTCCTATAATACTACTTTGAGGTTGAAAACTTATATAGAGCGCCGAGGCGGCAGCTTGGACGCTAACGGTTCCCTATGTACAGACACATGATTGTACCGAACACCAATATACAGAATCATACGGAAAAGTGAAAGTCCGAGAAAGTCCGAAAAATCTCGCGGATGTGTTGATGGCTCAGCTCAGCTTACGGCTGCTTTTGTGGGGTCGAATCCTTCAAGAAATAAAGTACAGTATATGCATTCACTGTTACGACTTGCCTGTGAGATTAATTTATAGGTCATTTTCGGAGAGTTCATAGAGCAATTCAGGGCTTCAAATCCAAATTATAGGCCTATGTAGGCTTGGAGTATCTCTTGTTCAGAAGGGAATAGAAAGATCCCGAAATCATTTACCGTGCCGCAACAATGCATCTAGTTTTGACAAACGAAATTCAGGCATAGTATTGAATTATGGCGTAAACAATGATGGTGAAGATATCTTCCGATATGTAGGTTTCCATGATATCTCAGCACTTCAAAAACGTTTCTTACAAAAGGGCCTGGGCAAGGGAAAGCAGAACTGGCGACAGACCCGTTGTCGTTGAATCTGAGATCGGCAGAGAATGATGCGTAATGACAAGTAAGATTTCAATACATCTTAGGGCAACAGTGTAGTTATATTTTTACGTTCTAGCACCATGGATGGCAGTAGGATCATTATAATGCGGCTATTATGGATGATGTATATGGTCATTTGGAAATTATACCATTTGAATTGGTACCCAATGAATAGAAAAAAAAGGTGAAATAAACATGGTAAAAAGGAAGGTGGAGGGTCACTCCCTTTCTCATTCAACAAGTTATGAGTTACTCACTCGACTGCACATCTGTCCACGAAATTGAAGCCTAACTTCAGGCGGCGCTCTCAATTCTCAGGAAAATCTCTGTTGTACTTCCCTCCCTACAGAAAGCAGCTACTGATGGCAGGCAAAATTTTGCATCGAAATACTAGGTAGCTCAAAACTCTCTCATTGGGGTCTTTGATATATACATGCGAATGCTTGATTTTAAAAGAAGGGAAAAAGGATTGTCCTGTTACACTTTAGATCTGTCATTTTGACAGTCATTTGGAGTCTCCAGTAACGTGGTCTAGGAGACCATTCTCTTAAATCTTTTACTACATTGAATCCGTTGCGTACATTGAATCTGCGCAAAACATTGAGTTGGATTGGGACATTAATCCCATCTTTAACATCGAACCCATTTAAAACAATGTATTGTACCCAAAGATTGATGAGCTGTTGAATACCCAACTAAGCTTGGACTATAGAAATGTATTCTAGAGAATTGATAAATTTTGAAACATTGTGTCCATCTCAATTGTCAAAAGTCATTAGAAATTAACTAAATTTCGAATAATCCACTTGGAATATTAACCACTTGAGTATTGAGCCCATCCGGCCGGGAGTATTGAATCCACTTGAATTCCTATACCATACTCAAAACCCATATGGTACATTAAAGCTGACTGGCCCATTCAATCTATTTGATAAACCGAAACCATCTTTTCGAGTAAAAAAAAAGATTTACTGCTGCGGTAGTTCGGGCTGGGTGAATTAACCGAGTTGTGATGCCTTCAAGGGGTAGTGAATATTGTTGGTTTCATCAACAGTGATATCCATGTACAAATTCGAACTAACTCCTTCATAATAGGGCTATTTGACTGATAGTTTCGAATTGAATTTGGAATATCAAATCACGCACGAAAATTGAAAACTTCTAGGGCAATACGTAAGGAGGAAGCACTGACTGACTGCACTGCAGTTCAAGCCAGAAATATCCTTCCAGGCCTAGCTAAAAGACTTTCTTCCGTTTCCAAATCATAAAGAATACTTGAAGTTGGGTATCAGACAACAAAGAGTTTGACTCGTAAGTCAAACTTGAAAGTGTATCAAGTCAGAAGCCACAGTGATAAATATGAGTAGAGGAGAGAAGTAGACTCGATTGACAAGGTGAATTATTTTGGTGGGTTTACCCACCTATCAGATCCACCAATGCCGTTTAATGCACGAATAAACAACCAACCAACCAACCAACCATTAATTAATCCTTCCATTGGTCTTGTTCCCGACTCCCGACTCCCGAAAACATCAAAAATGCAAACAACAAAGAAAAAAAACAAATCAACCTAGGAAGGAACCTAAGGAGCAACACAACGATAACCAAATTGACCACAGCGAATAGAGTCCATTGCAAAAATCATCAAAACAATCAAAAAAACTGCAAAAATAAATTGCCTACTACTGGAATCGAACCAATGATCTTAGCATTTCTGTTTTTTACAAGTGCTACGCGTTACCACTGCGCCAAGCAGGCTTTCTTTAGAAGTTATCTTCTACTAGTGGATGCTGACGGATGGATTAATTTGCTATATAAAGCTCAAAAGTTTGGTCAAAGGGCGATAATGGTAAAAGACTAATAAATAATAATAAGACGCCTGCTTGGCCGCAGTGATAATGCATACCTAGCACTTGTAAAAAACAGAAATGCTAAGATCATTGGTTCGAGAATATTTTTCCGCCCTTGCGGGCGAAGGATAGAGAAAGGAAATGTATTTCCACTGCTTTGTCTGTCTCTACTGTTCTATTTCTACATGGCAATTATATAATCTATCTGAGCAGTATGTATAATAAACCAGACTGCAATCCAATAATGAGAGACTTTTGATTCTTGAATTCGTTTGGAATGTTTCAAATTATCTGAATTATTGAATCTATTTGATATAATAATTCATTTGTAAAGATTACATTTGACATTTCAAATGTTGAAACTTTGCGTTTGGTCTGCTGGTCCCGACCATTGAACACCCGTGGGCCCTGTATCGGGGATTCTCTTCGGGTCACTTCACAGTCACAGACATTTATTTCCATTTGGATCGTTGGGTGTGATATAACTACTGGTTTGGCATAACTCATTGTTAACTCATTGTTAAATCATTGCCTATCGAATTCTGTTGAGAGATTTCATAGCGCTATCACCAAAATTCCTTGCTAAGGAGTAAACTCATGGGTCTCTCCTTTCATAGTATCTCATCTTCGTAACGCATAGTGCAGAAATTCCTCCCTTCACCACATATTGCCCTCCCACATATGTTATCAATACTTCTTCATTATTCATTCAGTCTTTACCAAAGAATCATCATCATTCGAAGCTGTAGCTCCTCCATAAGCAATCGCCAAACCTTGAAGAATCTCACTTCCAGTCAAATATATGATATATCCTGGGACAAATATCCATGCAGAGCTAAAGAAAGTCAGAAAATGGATGGCCAACATACAACTTCAAGGTCCAAATAACTTACTTTGGAATGATCCACAAGAAGATAAGATCAGGAATACTATTATGCCCAATATTCCCAAAATCCGAGTAATATTCATTCAACCCTAAAATATCTTAGCAAAGGCATCATCACGCAACCGTATATCCAAATCAAACTTACAATATAGCACTGTTTTACTAAAAGTCATAAGCGCAGCACTGTAACCCACCAACACAGCCAAAGCTCCCATCTTCCCATCCACAACCCTTTGTTCCCCAGGCACAGCCGAGTTCTTAGTAGCTCCTCTCCCTTGAGCCGCCGATGATTTACCATAAGCATAAATGATATACAAATAGTAATAATACATCAGACTCTCAACCACATTCATGAACGTCTGCGCCCCCGTAAATCCATTATGCTCATTAAAAGCCTTCCACCCATATATATAGTCGACCCTTCCATATAATTCATAAGGAGTCCAGATGGGCCAATGGAGTGATCCGCCAGGCATAGAATGAGGTCGAAGCATACAATATCCGGCATCCCATGCTACTAGGGGGAGAGAGAAGGCAAGCCAGATGATGGTCACTTTTGAGGGTATATGTGTCCATTGTCCTTTGCGGAGAGGGGCGCTTCGGGAGGGGGTGGTAGGTGTGCGGGAGGGAGTTTCGGGGAATTCTTGGGGGTGACCGCGCGTTGATACCATTTTGATGGATGTTGTCGTTGTTATTTTGTATATAAACGAAGGAGTGATTGAATGGTAGATTACGGAGTACTGGTATTGGATGAATTTATACGAACGATGAATGAAGATGAACAGAAACAGGAACAAACTCTGTCTGTCCACCTGTTCTAAAATCAAATAAATCACTGGGCAATGATCAATCACTGGGCACTTTATCAATTATTATTGAATCTGGAATCAATTATCATTACCTCGTACTCCGTACTCCGTACTCGTATCGTGCGTGATTCGTATCGAATCCTGGGGAAACCTTTCGGATTTTCTTAATTCCGTCCCCTGCCCTTGTCCCCTGTCACCCATGAACAGAACAGACATGGCAAAATTTATAGGGAAAGAGACAACGTCATACCTAAGCTACCTACATTTTGACCTACCAATTTTTTTTGCCTCAAACAATCTGTCGTCTCGACTTCTCTTCTATTCTGGTCTCAAACCCATCCATTGCTGTCGTTGTAATACTGTCATCGCATCTACTTTCAATCGTTTTCTTTCCGTTTCCAAGCTGTTAGGGAATACATCTCCTATTCAAAACCCATGTTATAGCACTCAATAATGGAATCACCTCCCGCCAAACAGAGACGACCAACCCGAATTGTGGAAGCTTCATCAACAACTCCAAATATGACAGCCAGAAGATCACCCTTCATCCCGACCACGTTCGAGTCAATACTCCTCTCGATCTATCCCGCGATTCTACTGTTAGGCTCGATATTCTCAATCCTAAGCCCCGACGTGCGAGCATCAGAGTATAACGCGGCCCTTCAATCCCATCCACCCAGTACCGCACCGTCGTATTTCGCGAAGAAAAGCAATATATTCAATCAGTGGTTCGTAAAGAAGGGATGGGCATGGATTTCCGCCAGCTACTTTTTCTTCCTCTTAACTCATCCATCGACCGGTCCTCCTGGCGTTTTCACTCTTACACGACGTCGATTACGCGGCTTGCTGCGATATATCGTTGTTACGACATGGTGGATTTTCGTCACGCAATGGTTTTTCGGCCCGCCCATCATCGATAGGGGATTTATTATTTCGGGCGGACAATGCGAATTGGTTGATGCTGCGGGGAAGGGAAAAGTCGATATGGATAATACGCGTCAATTTGTTACGGGTGTGGCTTGTAAAGCTGTGGGTGGGAAATGGAAAGGCGGGCATGATATCAGTGGCCATGTATTCCTACTTGTCCTTGGTAGCATGTTTCTTTTCCAAGAAGTGCTCCATGTTGTATTTCGCAGTTCGGGTATGAAGGAAGAACGGACGATAGTGATGGATGATGGAGCGATCAAATCGGCAGAAGTGGAAGCGCAACTACAAAACGAAGCAGAAGGATTATATCAAGATGGGCGGATGGGTCTAAGTGTAAGGATTGTACTTGGGGTGGCGGGACTGAGCCTATTCATGCTAACTATGACGGCGATATATTTCCATACGTGGTTTGAAAAGTTGACGGGGCTGATAGTGGCTTTTGGAGGGGTGTTTGTTGTATTTTGGTTACCGAGGTTGAATCCGACAGTGAGAACGGTGCTGGGGATGCCGGGGATTTAGACGATGATGATGATTATGAACGAAAGAAACGGACTCAGGATAGATTATTAAATGCTGTGTGTCTAGGCCATGTGTTAGAGATGAAAATAATACTGCTATGTTCGGTTGAGACATCGTAAGGCTAATAAGACATTAACATTGGCACTGCGGATGATGAACACCGAACGATAATCATGTAAACATAAATCTGGAAGTGAATAATCCGAATATAGATATTAACAAGGATTTCAAATGCCGTTTCCCAAAGTGCCCGTGTCCTTGGGTGTTTCAGGGGATTCTCGGTTCGCGAGATTTAGCTCCAACATGGCAATCACAGGTACCTAGGTAGGTACCTAGATACTACAATATTAGGTAGAGGTGTAATTAAATGGATAATCTGTAGTATTTCTTTTCTTTTTCAATCCGCTAGTACCTTATTAATGTAAAGCAGGTTCAAGAGCAAAACTAAATATTGATGAAGCTAAAAGATGATGAAGCTAAAAGATGAAGAAGCTAAAAGATGGTGGAGCTAAAAGATGGTGGAGCTAAAAGATGGTGGAGCTAAATGACGATGGAGCTAAATGACGATGAAACTAAACGATGATGAAACCAAACGAATGAGATAAACCTATAAAGAACCAGTCCAATCCAATACAATCCATCCCATCGAATCCCATCCCACCCAATTCAATCCAATCCAATCCAATTCAATTCGCAACTCGTGAAACCTGAATGAAAGCACCAGAATAGTACGGCCACAGGACTCGGATGAAGGAAGAAAATTTCTACTCAACCAAGTTGCCATTCGCGTCGATCTCATTGCCATCAGCGTCATAGCCGTCGTCTAAATTCAGTGTTAGTGAATGCATATATAACATGGTATTGTACCTATGGTTTAGATTGGAAGAAAGGGGGAGGAAAGATTTACTTCTGCGTGCTTTCTTTGCTTTCTTTGCCTTCTTGTTCTTTTTGCGCGCGACGAGTTTTCCATTGGAATCAAGTTCGTTGCCCCTGGTGTAAGAGTTAGTGACTATGCACTGTGAGAGAAGTGGAGGTATGAAAGATTGTTTTACGTACTCTGCATCATACTGGGTGTCTCGATCGACTAATCGTCCGTTCTCGTCAATCTCATTGCCATCGGCATCATATCCCGAGTCTTTGAATTTGTTAGTTGATATTGGTGTGGGGATTGATTGGTGAGAGGGCTGGATGTTAACTTACCACGTTGAACAATTTTTCCGTTGGAGTCTAACTCGTTTCCTCTGGAGAATCAAGAGGTCAGTACTTCAATTAGAGAGTAAGGAAATATGAGATGAGATTATGATGAAATATCCACAAGATCCACCACGGAGACGAGAATTGGAACGATGCTTAAGAAGGCAGACAAGAAAGAACCGGTTTTACTTACTCGGCGTCATACCCATCATCGTAATCACGGCGGGCCTTCTTGGCTGGAGAAGCATTAGCAAATAAACGCGGGTAGGAAGAGATGGATGAACATACCCTTCTTATTTTTCTTGTTGTTCTTGCGCTCGACAATTCGTCCGTTGGCATCAATTTCATTGCCATCGGCGTCATATCCACCCTCATCTAAAGATGTTAGAATATGCATGAGAAATGGCGAAAGACTACTGAAACTCACCGCGCTCAACCACGTTGTCATTTGCCCCAGCTGCTGTGCCCTTTGCCGCCTTTGCCCCAGCTGCCTCGCCTGCTCCAGCTGCCCCAGCTGCTCCTTTTGCTCCAGCTGTTCCTTTTGCCCCTGCCGCTTCGCCTGCCCCAGCTGCC